ACGTGATGTAAATATTAATTACATTGAAGTATTAACTAAGATAATTTTGTAAATAATTTAATTTTGTTGTAATAATTCTCGTTGAGTTTCAAAATTATGTATTATGTTATTCCACCACTATATATTTGAACTAACAATTCATCATTTATGTTCTTTGACTAAACATATAAATATGTAATATTGACTAAAAATTTACGCACAATTTTAATTGATGATATTAGTGCCATATGTTTTCATTTTTCCAATGGCTTCTTATTTTATTCTTGTTGACATTGTTCTTAATTGAGACGAAATAAATAAATTGAATTATAAAAAAATATTTTATTGTTAATATAACTAACTAAAACTTTAAGTAGTTCCCAGAAGACTCAAGAATGCGAGTACAGTGGTATGTGAATAAGCAGAAGAGTCCAAGGGAACGCGATATTTTTTACGTTTATGGAGGTCGTCCGTTCAGACCGGCCAATGACTCCTGTTTATAGAGATTTCTCCCTTAAAAATTCTCCCTTATCCAGGTTGGACTGTATTTTGATTTTAGCAATCTAATTTAATTACGCCAATAAAGAAAAAAATGAACTTTATACTAACTGCGCCATCTTTGCTACGACTCTGACAAGATTTATCTTGTAGGCGACATAAAAATACATCTTTAGAAATAGTTCGAATAATTATAATTAATAGTTGAATTTTCAAGCTATGGAATTTTTACCTGGTTTTTAGTAGCACAGCGCACACACACATCTGCATGTTTAACCTAAGTTTCTTTTAAAAAACGATTTAGAGATATCATGTTAAAAACAAGAATGCAAATAGACATTATTGTAAAATAGTTTTGCGATTCTCGCAGGCGTTTTATATCTAACGGTAGGTGACGGTCTATTTGTTCAACGAATATAATTATGCTTATTGTAATGTTCTATAATAATATTTTCATACTGAAACAAAATTTTCGATTATATCAGATTATTAAACGTTTGGTAAAATGTGAATATCAATGTTTAATTAACGATTACCTTTTCACTCTTCCGTTGTTTTTTATTATGAATAAATAGGAACAATAACAAATTATAATAATGTTTTATAGAAGCATGATCATACATTTTTATTACGTCTGCATAGACTAAGAATCTATGGCAATGCTAATAGCAACTTTAAACTGTCAACACAATGACAACATGACAGGAAAACAAAGTGGAGGAAAACATAAACATTGCAAACATTCATTGAACATTGAATCCAATTTGTTATTGATTTAAACTTGCCCAGTCGAATCAGTCTTGTCCATGCGAACAGTTCAGTATTTGATTAGCCTAGCATTTATCTCATCTCCTTTTTGTTGTGTTTGAATGATTATAATTTCGTATCAAAAAGTTAATTTATTTAATAAGTAAAATGTCTAAATGGCTAGTTATTTTATTTTCAATCAAATATATTTTAGCAGATCCAACTCCCATTGTTCTTTGGCATGGAATGGGTAAGAATTTAATTGACTTCAGTGATCGATAATTTTATTTTTAGATCTTAGTATACTAACGTTTTTCTTTAAATTTAAAAACACAGGTGATACTTGTTGCGTCGACTTTAGTTTAGGATCGTTTAAAATATTTTTGGAAAAAGAAATTCCTGGTGTTTACGTACTTTCCTTACAAATCGGAAATTCGACTATTGAAGATTTTGAAAATGGGTATTTTATGCATCCAAATAAACAAATTCAATATGTTTGTAAACTACTAGCTAATGATCCAAAATTAGCAGATGGTTTTAATGCAATAGGATTTTCACAGGGTGCTCAATTTCTGTAAGTATTATTTATTTTAATACTCAAACTATAGCATTTTTATGTCAAATCAGACTATTATCTTGACATTTAAAAATAAAAATTAATTTTTTAAGTAAGTAAATTACAAAAAGTGAAAAATAATTATTCTGCATGAAAATTCTATCTTTTTTTTACAACTTACTACAATTTGATATAAAAATGTAAATAAATTTTAATAAAAACTGCATATTAATATTGCCAGCAGTACAAAAATTTTTTTGGTCATAATTATTCAAATCTCTTTTGTATATTAATTTTATTTAAATTCTTCTCATTATTTTATTAATCTACATATTCTTATTATTTTATGACTATTTTTAAATGCATTTATTTCAATTGTAATTAGGAGAGGACTAGTTCAGCGTTGTGGTCATAAGTTGCCAGCAATAAAATCATTAATATCCCTTGGTGGACAACACCAAGGAGTATATGGGTTGCCGCACTGCGGGGCATTGCAGCATGCAAGTTGTGATTATGTTAGAAAGATGCTTAACTATGCTGCCTATTACAGGTTAGTTATACTTATTTTTTCTTACTTTGTGGTAGAACTGCATTAAAGAACCATGCATTGATATTATTTTTTTTATAGTATAAGGTGGCAAATGAGCAAACGGCCAACCGATTCGCCTAAAATAGTGAAGTGACCTCTGCCCATAGATAATCCACATTTACAGATGTTTGACCTTCAATCAACAGATGGAGGGATACATAGATAAAGTACATTTCCCTTTCCTATTTGTCCCATCCTCGGCCTAATCCACTTATAGAAGTAGAAATAAATTAGGCCTTACGTAACAGTTATTAGGCGAAACATAGAATGATTTCCAGTTAATGCCTGTCTTCTCTGCGGCTTTGTTAACTGGCAAGCCGGTTCATTTATGCAACAAATGGTGTGTCTACAATTAATCCTGTCTTTTATTCTTTGACAAAACATAGACTAAATATATTTATACAAGTGTCAAAGCAATGACATACTCTGTTCATATAATTCTTTGCAGTTGGGTGCAAGAATCTCTAGTACAGGCAACCTACTGGCATGATCCATTAGACGAAGATGTATATAAAAAACAAAGTCAATTCCTAGCAGATATTAATAATGAAAGGGAAATTAATAAAACGTATATAGAAAATCTGAACAGATTAAATAAATTAGTACTGGTGAAATTCGAAAGCGATAGTATAGTGCAACCGCGAGAAACCGAATGGTTCGGTTTCTATGCACCGGGTCAGGCAAAAGTACTGCAGTCGTTGGAGCAATCTGATCTTTATGTACAGGTATGTAAGCTTAATTTTGATTGCATTGTTGAGAGCTTGATAACTAGTAGATCGAGACGGTTTAGCGTTAAGAAGACTGTTATCTGTCTTAGTTTCGATAACAGAAAACATTTTCTTAGTATAATACTTATGTGTACTATATACATAGCAATATAATTGGATAGTCTGTATGTAATATCGTGAAAAAAATCATATTTAGTACATGGGATGTATTTGTGTTGTAGATAATGAAAAAAAATATTTTCTTTATTTGTCTGTGTGTCGCGTTTTAGCGCGACTTTGACGAGAAGGTACTTTTTTATAATTCACTGACGAGTTCACGGGCGACCGCTAGTATTAATAATTTAACTGTGGTTAAATTTCTTGATCATTGTCAGTCTAAACCCAAAGTCATACCTTCATGTGTTCTTAGGATCGTTTGGGATTAAAGAAAATGGAGGAATCTGGTAAACTCGTATTCTTGTCAACTCCAGGTGACCATCTACAATTCCCTCAAGATTGGTTTGTCGAGAAAATTTTACAACCATATTTAGTGTAACTTAATATGTCTTATTTAAGTTAACTAAGTGCAATAAATATATAACATATATGACATAGATTTTTGAAACTATTTATATTATAATCAATTTATAAAGATCTGAATAAAGTATGTAATTAAAACTTCTTAATTTCATTTCCTATGATTGCGAAAATATTTAAAAAAGGGTCTTGACAGACAGACGGACGGACAACAAAGTGATCCTATAAGGGTTCCGTTTTTTTTCCTATGAGGTACGGAACCCTAAAAACAAAAAAAATCTATATATCTTTTTAATCGTGTTTATTTAAAAGTATATATAACAAAGCTGTACATATTTCTATAAATAAAAATGATTTTTAATATCTCCACGCTATTATTTACTTTGCATGTTCATTAAACATATAATTTTACGTACATTAACATGAACTAAATATACCTTATCTGTAGGTAAACGCTGTTTTATTCGTAATCTCCCTTTCCAACATCGGTTATCCTTTTATCCCTAAATTTAGAACTTTATTGTGTTTGTGTCCTTTTGACTTATGTTTGTAATAACATTTCCTAAGATCGCGTTCGCACGGGCGCTTCTTTAACGACACGTTTAAACTCCGCGTTGGCGGTTCTCGTGCGACGAACGTTTTAAAATAATTCTTAAACACTACGCGATAAAACAACGTCGCGTTTTAAAACTGTTGTATAAGTTACATAGCAATACATTTGTTCTATTATAACCCTTTTATATCAAACTTTGTAAAAGAGTACGTGTGAATGGGGGCTACAAATATCGGTTGTAAAAAAAATGTATCCATTGTCAAAATCTGACGACAACCTTTTCTGGAGGCCACGCTAATCTTACAATGCGTACTTATGGTACGAACCAAAATATGTTACCGCAAATTATGTGACATGAATCTGCTACTATGTGGTACTTCATAAAATGATATTTAACTTAAAACCCAACGTAATTTGTAACTTTAAAACCTCGAACCTATAATCTGCAACCTACCAACTATTATTTGCTTTTGTGGAAAAAAAAGCGGACCACATGAATTATAAAAAAGCATCTTGACAGACAAACGGACGGACACCAGAGTGATCCTATAAGGGTTCCGTTTTTTTCCTTTCGAGGTACAGAACCCTAAAAATTATAGTTCAGAGGATCTATCCCGAAAATTCACGATATGTTTTCGTAACGTAATGTCCCACTAGTATGACATTTTCCCTTTTACATTACGACCGATAGTTGCACAAAACTAATAAAAAATGTCGATTTCGTTGAAAATATGTACGTTCTTACAAACTTTCAAGTAAAAACCGCCATAAAACAACACCGTAACGAATAGGGAACATCCTTTTTGAAGTTTTAAAAATCAAACTACATCATTCCTTTAACATTTAATAACATTAAACCATAATTATTAATTTAAGTGAAATTCTTAAATCATTCAATTAAGCTATCAAAATCGTGTCGTTGTTTCAACCGGACTCTATCAGGTTTGTCTCCTTGTATCCTGGCTTCTACGTAGACTCGAACATAACAGTTGTGGTCAGAACTCTTCTTGATAAATGGGGCGTTAGCACCACGTAGCTTGTGCAACGGAAACCGAGTGAAGCAACTCATCATGCATCTCTCTGCGACCTTGTAACTTGAAAAAAAAATAGTATCCAAATCACAATTTTAAAAAACATTTATTATTAAAGAAAAAAATACACACATCACAGATTTATAAGAAAAAAATGAAGAAAAGTGTGGCAAAAGGAGCCAGCTCAACGTACGCAGGGACGGCCTAAACAGTATCTGCACTGGTTTTCATTTGGCTTTGCATCCACCGGAATAAAAAACAACCCTTTGTCGTGGATCTTCGTTTCGAGGGCACTCCCCTGGTTGCCTCAGCCAGTATCAGTATTCTCGGCGTTGACATATCGAATGACGTTCAGTTTCGCGGTCATTTGGAAGACAAGGCCAAGCTGGCCTCCAAAAAACTGGGTGTGCTCAGCAGAGCGAAGCAGTATTTCCAACCGGGCCACCGCCTCCAGCTGTATAAGGCGCAAGTTCGGCCCCACATGGAATACTGCTCGCATCTCTGGGCGGGAGCACCCCAGTACCAGCTTCTTCCATTTGACCGCATACAACGGAGAGCGATTCGAATCGTCAACGACCGAGCTCTTACTGATCGGCTCGACACTCTGGCGCTGCGGAGGGACGTTAGTTCCCTCTGCATTTTCTACCGCATATACCACGGGGAGTGCTCTGAAGAATTGTTTGGAACGATTCCTGCCGCCGAGTTCCGTCATCGGACGACACGACAGACCGCCAGGTTCCATCCACACCACCTGGATGGCTGGCATTCCACAACGGTGCGATTCTCGCGCAACTTCTTGCCTCGCACAGCCGCGTTGTGGAACGGTCTGTCCTCGGCGGTATTTCCAAACCAATACGACTTAGGGTCCTTCAAGAAGCGAGCCTATCACCACCTCAAAGGCCGGCAACGCATCTGCGGTTCCTCTGGTATTGTTGATGTCCATGGGCGTCGTTGAACACTTCGGTGTTCCCGCTGCTCGTTTGCCCCCTTCTGTTATAAAAAAAAAAAAAAATAATAATATAGACAAAAACGGGATAACCCAACTCTTACCAATGAACGAAAACATACACAAAGAATTGGGCAAAGAGCTGAGGTTAATATTAAAATATAGACTCTTCAATTCTACCTAAAAGGTTGGCAACGCATCTACAATTCCCCTAGTGTTATGGATGTCTATGGCCGCCAAAAATCAACTCAGTGTTCCCACCGGTCGTTTGTCCCTTTCTGTTATTTATAAAAAAACTACATCGAGAGTTCGCTCTTCCAAAACATTTTCTATTCTCTATGAACAAATAAAGTCAATCATATATTTTAATACAAATGTTAAAAAGGCAGTAATTTTTCTAGGTTCTAATACGTAACAATGATATATTATCGTTTAGCAAATTCTTCACTGACAAATATTTATGACACCAGTTTTACCAGTTTATTTATGCACGTATATTATAATGATATTTATTATTTGCAGTTATTTTACACATATCTGACCTCTATATTTGAAAAAAATAATTAAAACGTTACTATTAGCTAGTAATAACGTAATAACTGCTATATTTATAGTTTTTTAATTGTCATCGGCTAATAATTTTCAGTTGAAATTGACACAACCATTGTAATTTTGTCTCACCGTCGGTTTCTGAAGCTAAAATCCCCGTTTAAAACATTGTTATGTCTGTTCTGTCAAAGATAAGCAGGGATGACGATATGTTTTATACAAAGATTTCGGTCTCAAAAACTTACGTTTAGTCAAACATTACAAACGAAAGTGTCAAGGAGTTCAGAAACATTTCGTACTGATTTCGCAAATACACGTAATAGCTACGCTAAGTGTAACGACAATATTTATCTATTCAGCGCACTTTAGTACCCAATGCTCCCGAGTGTCTGACCTCCATTATCATCGCGTAATTTTCAACAAAATATTTAACTAATTTTAATAACTTTCCACGGTACTTTTTTTCCTACACTTGTAATTCGTAAACATTACACACTAGCTATTGCCCGCGAGTCTGTTCATGGGGAATTAAAAAACAACTTAGCCTATGTGTTCTTCCAGATTGTGTTCTATATATGTATATGCTAAATTTCAGCAAGATCCATGCAGCGGTTATGGAAATACCTTTAAACAAACATCCATCCATACATCTAAACATTCGCCTTAATAATATTAGTAAGAGTTAAGATATAAAACAAGAAAAAAAATATTAAGTACCATAATTAATAATTCACTTATTGCTATTCAAAGTATCAAAGACGAATAAAAACTCCTTACTCGTATGGGTTTATGCAGTCCATGCGGACGACTTTGTAACCCTGGTCGAAGGCTTGTGCCATCGACTTTTGTACCAACATCACGGCAAGGCCCTGGCGACGGTACTCCGGTTTTACAGTCACCATTCTAACCTACAATTCAATCATAATAACAACACATATAACCATAACATAAACTAGCTGACCCGCGATTCTCTCCGAGTGGAATATAAAAAATCTTAATTATTAATCTATGTGTTCTTCCAGATTATGTTCTACATTTAGACCAAATTTCTGCGAGACCCGTTTAGTGTGTCTGGAGAAACCTACTAACAAACATTCATACATATATCCAAACATTCGCGTGTATAACATTAGTAAAACATTTATTAAAAAAGAATTTAAAAAATCACTACTATAAAGACTAAAATTAAAGAATTAAAAGCCGTTGGAAATTATAAAGCGGCAGAATGGTTGATTACGTGCTTTCCCTGGAAATTAAAGTAATATAATTCAGTAATACGAAGTTTCTTGTTTATTACATGTCATAAAAAGCAGAAAGCACCTACTTTTTAATTTTTTCTGATTATAAAACGAACCTCGTATACTTTCCGCTCTTTAAACAAGTCCCATAAATTTGGAGTCTCTTGTAGTTTTGCTGTGAAGTATAAAAAGTCTTTCGTATTTGGATCCTGTATGAAATAAAAAATAAGTCGTAAAATAATTATAAACAAAAAACATAAGGGATAAAGATGACGAATAAAGATAAATTTTCACCTGACGATAAAAAGCATAATTTCTAAGGTTTTTTGGGTCCAAAGGGCTACTTGCGTAGCTAACACAGATACCTGCTACCTGTTCATCTTCAGTCTTCGCAAATAAAGAATTGCCTAAAAAATACAAAAAAAAGTCATTTCATTTGAAACTTAGAGCCAAGTCAAGTCAGCGCCATCTTTGCAAAATACCATGTACTACTATTGACAAATATTTTTAACTTTCATTTATCTGGCGTAAAGATGGCGCTATTTGAGATATATTAGAAATGGTTGGTTGATTTTATGCACTAGTTACAATGTGAAATCGTTTTCCACTAAGAAAGTAGACAATAATAATGTAATTTTCGCACTTACCTTGACGAAGTAAGCTTATAAGGTATTCCTCAATTGCGCGATCATTGCTTAGGTTCATTCCCCTAGCGCGTACAAGGACATGTTCATTGAGGTAATGCTTCTTCAAAACTTCTACAGCCATTTCATGATCGCCGCTAGTCAATGCGGTTATTGCGAAATGTTCTGGCTGAAGTGGACGAAAATAAATACAGTGGAAAACGACAAATGAACCAAAAAAAAGACAGAGGGAGAAAAATGCTTCTAAGGCGATAAGTACCACACTAATATTTTTTAAATCTTGTTCTAAGTTCTTCAATAGTAGCCCTTTCACCGATACGACTATTGGAATAAATGGCTGTCATATCCCACATGGTAAACTTGTCTAACGGTAAGTCGTATATTCGTGTAATTTAAAGAGATCTTTGTCTAAATAACCATAAAATCTTTACCTTCTCCTGTCGCAGCAAATCCTGTATACCAAACACACCATGACAGTTTCTACTTTGAAAGATTCTTCCAGTACTTCTAACGATGGGTGATATAACTTTTGACATCGATTGGATTAACATTATTGTGTTAATAATACAGAAAATTTATCTTTTAAATACCGAGAAATAACGTCTTTGAAACAATAAATTCTTGACACTTCTTGTCATCATAGAGTATTAAAAAAGTTTTTGGGATGGAAAAAACTGGTTGACTTTATTTTGGTATTTCTGTTTTGACCGTAACTCTATGCGCGCGCAAAAAAAGTATCCTAGGTTTTCTTCCATACAATATTCTGTTTCTATACCAAATATAATTCAGGTCGCAACCAATCTGGAGGGAAAACTATCAAACATACAGATTTATTAATAAGAGTAGTAAGAGTCTAGTACAGTCTTTCCCAAAGTGGGCGATAACGCCCCCTTCTGAGCGCTGTGTAAAAGTTTCGTTTAGAATTCTCCGTTAATATACATATATATAGGTCACACTAATTAATTAATTTAATTTGAAGTTATAGTGGTTTTTAAATATGTGAAAATATGGGGGCGCTAAAAATATTTATTCTCAAAGTGGGCAGTAGAAAAAATAAGTTTGGGAACCACTGGTCTAGTAAGATGTCTCATGTTTCCTCTAAGATTCTTCCCGCGTCCTTAAATATCTTCAGTCCTCAATTGAAATTAATAAAGAAAGTTTCACATGAATTTTCGCAATTTGCTTGTTCGCCTATTAGTTGATTAATTTACTTTAAGTTTAATAGCGTAATAATGTTTTATAGTTTGAGAACTTAACAAGTTGTTAATAAGTGTTTATGTAAACGTTCCATCCAACGTTATGGTTTAAAATTCGACTAAACAGTGAAAATAATGCAGTTTGCATTTGTTAAAATTACTATTTACTGTAAGTATTATTCCAAAAATATTATAATATCCGTCTTGCGCGACTCCGACCTCGCGGTATTAACCAGAATCTTAATTAGTATGTGTATACCTTCAGAATATGTTCTACATCTATGCCAAATTTCATTAAGATCCGTTCAGCCATTCTAGAGATACCTTCAAACAAACATCCATCCATCCATTTAAACTCTCGCATTTATAATATCAGGAAGAAGATAAAGGTACCCATAGAATGAAAAATGATTACCAGGGAACTGTAAATAAAGGCTTAGCGTATCGTCTCTACGTAGAAATCTTTACTATTCATAATTAGCGCATTACATTTACGAAATTGATATCATTCATTAATTGTTTTTTAATCTAGATTTATTTCTAGGTACAATAATAATACCTAAATGTATCGGAATCAACTTTATAGATTTTACAAATGTCCCGAATCAATATGAGACGACACAATCATATTTACATCTTGTAAGCGATACAAAAGATACAGACGGGACGATTCCACCACTAGACGCCACAACAAGGGATACTAAGAGAAGATTCATGGTAGTCAGTCCAAAACCCGTATTCCTAAGACAGGAGGAAGCCGAAGAGGAAAAAGACGCTAGCCTTAAAAACAAAATCAAACTGCTAGTACAACAATGCATCCACGACGCTAAAGATAAAATGGAAACAATAGATTCATTAAAAGACAAGTATAAAGACGATCCATCTTATAAAGTTGGATTTATTTTTCATAATTTAAAGAAATCTAAAGATGTGATGAGTGAACTTTTTAATGTGGCCGTGAAACATCGTCATGATTGGAAAGCGTTGGAACAAATGAGGATATTCGAACTTATAGTACATACTAATGTGGATACAACCAACTTGGTGAGACAACTCGTTGAGCTGCATTTGCACAACGTGAACGCAACAAATCCGGCCCCAAATGTAGTAAAAAAGAGGGTAGTTTTATTGTAAAATTATAACAGTTTAAAGTTATCAAGTTGTAGTCAAAATTATAATAATAAATTTTTCATCATCAATCTACCCTTATCCCTAAGAAAGGTTGGTACAGTATGTAGGTCCATACATCTCAATCAGCCGTCATATCTGAATTCATCTCCTTCTTACGCATATCCTCTTTCACACAATCCATCCATCCTTCTTTTGGCCTTTCTCTACCTTTGTACCCTTCCACATTCAATCTCATTACTTTTGTATGTTAAAAATTGAATTCAATTCTTTAAGATTTTCAAAGGTTTCAGTAAAAGTGAAAGAGTTTCAAATTCCTTAGATGTTAATGAAGAGAAGATTCTATTTATTTTAATAACTAGCTGTCGCCCGCGACTTGGTTCCCGAGGTATTAAAAAAAAAACTTAATCAGTAGTCTATGAATTCTTCCAGGCTATGTTCCACATCTATGCCAAATTCCAAAGTTTTGGAGAAACCTTCAAACACACATCTATCCATCCATAGATTCGCATTTATTTTACGCAGTAATCAACTAGTTAACAAAAACTAACTAAAAAATGTTACCAGTATATTAAAAAAGGCACAAAAAATATGTAAAACTAAACACAAAGCGTAAAAAGCATAGGTGAGGTGACAAAAGGCGGTGTTGTACGTCATCAAGTCATCAAGTAAAGCACTATCCCGTTACATCAGCAGACTCAGCTCAGGTGTTCTGCAGTAATTACTGGCTGGAAAAGATGACTTCTCATTATATAAGATGGTAGATGTGTGGTTAGGAACACCCGGTTCGTACATCTCCGAACAAAGAATGATTATTTTCCGCTGAAAAAAAAACTCGTAACCTCCTAATGAAAAATACGTGTGAGGTGTGAGGTCGCGCCGAAGAAAGAATATTGTTGTTTCTATTTTTTACTATATACTAATACTAATGGTTTCTTTTTGTTTGAAGCAAGGTTCATTATGAAATATTAAATATTTTTTTGATATGCATCATCATGAGCCTTTGGTATTATACTATGATTTTCTTTTATAATACGTGTGGACAGAAAAAAAATAGTTTATTATTTTTTATGTAAACGAAACGAATTTTAAAATGTTTTAATCATATTTATAAATAAATGAACTATTATACAGACACTATAAATTAATTAAATCATTGTAAATGGCTGTTCATAAAAAAAATGAAAAATAATTATTTCCTTAATTTTAAATGCTATTATACAATGTAATTAATTTTCTCAGTCACGTTACATCTAATTATTTACTAATTTCATTTCTTTTTATTTGTTTTTTTTTTATATCATAAGGTGGCAAACGAGCGAGCGGCCACCTGAAATCGCTGTAATAGCGAAGTGACCGTTGTCCATAGACATACGCAATTGCATATATTTACAGAAAGAAAATATTTTCCCCTTCCATCCTCTCATACGGTGGTAAGTCCACTTCCACTTCCCATCTTTTCCTTATAAGAAAAAGGGTGGGAAGGGAAAGAGGATTAAATTAGGCCTCCGGGACGCACACTCTTAAGACGAAACGCGGAATTGATTAAAATTCATTAAATAATTATTTAAATAATAAATAAGTGCAATCATATTAGTACGTTAGTGACAATGGGTACAATAATAACAATACGAGTATCTACTCGTACATAAATAAACGCCAATATAACTCCCCCCCAATTTGTATAACAACCGTCCGTGCAAAGGCTTTGCATTGCATAAAACAAAAGAGCACAACAATGGACATATGGAAACTTTTTTGGCTTAATATACAATGGAGTGTAGGTGAACGTGAAATAGACGTATTTTGGGCGTAGGGATGTCTGCACAATGGTTCGTTTCTATTTTAATTTTCTACGCGAACGCATACCGATTGTGCGTATCGGTTCACTATTCGTTAGCCAATTTTTTTTTCCAATTTCAACACTTGCTTTTATAGACTCGTTTATGTTCAACATTTCGGCTGGTTATTATTGCCTCATTATTATATAGGGATGAGAACATCGTTATTTTTACGATGACATTTTATAAACGATTGATTTTTTTATAAGAGAAGGGAGGGGGCAAACGAGCGGCGGGAACACCAAGGTGATCAACGACACCCATGGACATCTGCGATGCGTTGCCGGCCTTTAAGGAAATGGTATGCTCGCTTCTTTAAGATTTCTAAGTCGTATAGGTATGGAAATACTGCAGAGGACAGACCGTTCCACAAAGCGGCTGTGCGAGGCAAGAAATTGCGCAAGAATCGCACCGTTGTGGAATGCCAGCCATCCAGATGGTGTGTATTTTATAATACGTAAAAAAAAAGAAATAATTTAAAGTGAAATAGTCGTTTCAAGTGGCAAACCATTACCAACTTCATAGTTCATAGTCACCATAAAAATTGGTCTATTGCCGTTATCTAGTGGTCGTCTGCAGTCGTACTAGATATATACAACTTTTGGATTGTCTAATACATCGGGTAGATCTGTGTCTTACTAAAATTTCTAGAAAAATTTTAGCGATTGTTAAGACTTCGAATACTGCCTTTTTATGATTATATTATATTATAGTTAAATTCAATATTATTCACTATTCATAACAAATCATATTGAAATTAGAATAGTTAGTTCTTTATTTAAAATTTTGAAGATTATTATTTATAATTTGTAAATAAGGTAGTCAACCCTGGTACTGTCTACGGGCGCGGCTCAGTGAGGCCGGCGGAGTGTTTGCTAAATTGAAAATTATTTACTATGCTATTTACTATAATATGTACATATGAACTAGATTATAACCATAGATAAGATACCAACGTTGAAATGATCAAAGGATTTTTTTACATAGATGTCATAAAAATTGATTTTGTAAAAGGTTAAGGGAGAATGGAATGTAAGATGTTGGGTTGAGGTCATTCCATTTTTGGATAAATTTGGAACTTCTATCAAATTAATCTATGCATATTTATTAGTTAAGATGCGTAAAGTCTATTCCAAATGATTGGAAAAAGCGTAGACAGATGATAAACTTTATTTATTCTGTTAATTTCATAGTTTTCAAAATTTCATAGTTGTTTGTTTTAATAATATACAACTTTAGTCCCTTTCTATAAAAGTATATCTTTATATATATAATTCTTCTGTGAGTGTGTATGTCACTGAACTTCTCTCAAACGACTGGACTGATTTTGATAAAATTTTTTGTGTGTGTTCAAGGGGATCTGGGAATGGTTTAGATTCACAATTTTGTCCGCTGGACAATGTTTTTTTAATTAATTTTTAATTTATTAGTAGTTGTTGATTTTGGAATGTTTTACATTGAATCCGACAGACGGCGCTACCACCGCAGTGTCAAATTTTAAATAATATTCGAATTAAAGACGTGTAGACAGGACAACGTCTGTCGGGTCCACTAGTTACTATATAAAAGTATTCATTTTAAGTAAATGTATGCAAAAATAAAAGCAAACCGCAAGCTCACTCCATCACAATCAGCTTCAGTGGACGCAAGGCATTTCGGACTATGTTCGGACAGCGACCGTCTTGCTGTGCTGCCTAAATACTGAATACAGCGCTCCAACCGCCTTAATACTTGACAATATTCTTTGGACTTAATGGACTAATCACTTACGTATAATTATTCAATAATATAATTAATTAATATCAATTAGAGGCATCTTTAGTTAATTGTCTCATTAATATTACTTATATTTTATGTCGAGAATTTTCTACAATCAAGAAAAGGTAACCGTGTTGTCACTCTGCCAAAACAACTGTATAAAACATATTGTTCCTCTTATTAATTTTGAAATAAAAAACACGGTTCTTGTTTTAAAGAACTTGCTTTAAAAAAATATTTCTCTTAATGTGGAATTATGTATTATTAGCTGTTGCCTGCAACTCCGTCCGCGCAGAATGAAAGAAAAACTAAATTAGTTGCCTATGTGTTTTTCCAGAATTTTTTCTACGTCTATGCCAAACAACGAGATCCATGCAGCCGTTCATGAGATGCATTGTAACAACTATCCATCTAAACATTCGCATTTATAATATTACTAAGATTGGTTACAAAGGAAAGGATGAGGTAAAATATTAAACAATCTAAAGAAAAGTGTTGCTTTTTCTTTGACTTAAAATTAAAGTATCAAATTAGTTGATTCGCAGTTTAGCATCCGGTCGGCGACTTGGTCAGTTTCTTTCATCCGAGGCGGAATTCACAGCTAATTGTGGCATTAAACAATAGAACCTCTTAGCAATACAAGTAACGCCCCCCTCCCCCCCACAGCATTGTTCACAGAATGAACATTCGGACAATAAAGCCTCAACAAGAAATTGTTTTTGGTACAATGAAAACTATTTCAAATGTAACCGTCGTGAAAATTAAAATGAAGGAATGTATTGTGCAGGTAGTCGTGTTATCTATATATATAAAAGAAAGTCATGTTAGTTACACTATTTATAAATCAAGAACGGCTTTACGGATATGGCTGAAAATTGGTGAGGAGGTAGCTTAGAGCCAGGAGACGGACATAGGATACTATTTATCTATTTATTTTTTTCGAATTTATGCCTTGAAGAGCTGCGTTTTATTTAAGTTACTAATATTATAAATGCGAATGTTTAGATGAATGTGATGTGGATGGATGGATGGGTGGGCTACACTAACTGGGCTGCGCAACAGAGTCGCGGGGGACAGGTAGTGTTTTTATATAAAGACGTCAAATTGGAATACAGAGAATGTGGCTAAGTGATTCAGGACATATTTTTAGTTAATTATTTAAATGGTAACCGTGCTGTGACAAACATTATCAAGTAACTCGTAATATTAATTAACTGTTAATTCTGTGGTCAGTGTTACATCTTACTGATATAAATGCGAAAGCTTTTATGTATGGATGGATGCTAGAACGTATCCCTAGAACGGCTGCATTGAATTATCTTTAATTTGGTATAGATGTAGAACATAGTCTGGAATAACACAAAGGCTGTTAATTAAGTTTTTTTATTTCCGCATAAACGAAGTTCACTGCTCTTATGATTGCTAACGTTTGGATAGATGGATGGATGTTTGTTATCACGTAACTTCAGAACAACTGTACGGCTCAGGATGGAATTTGGAAA